TACTATCACTAACCATTAACCCAAAAGCTGGTAAATAAATTTCAAATGCCTTGAGATTTCACAAACACTCTTTTAGTAAGGTGGCTTTATGGTCAGCAATACAACATAGAGAGGTACATTTTAGTCTTAATGTCCTCCTGCAATTACTAAAGATTATTCAATTTGGTTGTAATTTAGAAATGTTATATAAATATTATATAAGTGAAGATGAGGTAGACAAATTCAGACTCCAAGGTATGAGATTGCCAAAAGTACACTTCTTTCGGCTTATAGAGTTTGCATTTGCTGATATTTTCTCGGTAGGCACTCAGGCTACTCAGAGATGACCCAAAAAGCCACAGAGAATCACACAGGGGTGAAAGTGTAAGCAGGTTGCAATATATTGCAAATAAGGAATAGTAGAGGGAAGCTGGTATATAGTTGTTGTTCTTGAACAACATATATGGTGCATATGTATATCATGTCGTATATGGTCTTTGTTCCAAAAAAGAACCAAAATGCTATCACTATGTTGGGGTCCCCCACTTTCCTTCAGAGCCTCCTAAACATTAAGCTAGCTTTGGCAATGTATGCATCAACCTCATCATCTACATGCACATCCCTGGAAAGCACACTGCCAATGCAAACAAATTTATCCCCAGCATTCAAAATTTCTCCATTTATTATAAGCAATGGATCCATGTATGGATGGTGCAGTACTGGCTAATGGAGAACCTCTTTTCTTGGTGTTGACTGTTAGGCCAAAATTAGCACAAATGGCAAAGATTCAACCCATACTCTGTTGTATCTCAGCCTCAGAAGCTGCCTTGAATGCATAATAAGCCACACACCAACTGTCCCTCCACTTTAGTCTTGGCTTATAGCCTTTTCAAATTAAATAATTTATCATCAGTGCAGTAGCTAACCTTGATGCCTTTTTTGTCCTCATCTGGGACACCCAACAACATCATTGAAAACACCATGCTAAAAAGTGTGGTAGCAAGCACAAAACCCTGCTTCACTCCATTGGTAACTTGGAAAGCACAAGAGCATCATTTATTATCCAGAACCCATGCAAGCATGCTATCATGAAACTAGTATACAATACTGATGAACTTCTCTGGGCAACCAAATTTGATTCTCACAACAGTCTTGGGAGATAGGTGTTGTTATTATTATCCCCATTTTACAGATGATGAAACTGAGGCAAATGTAGATTAAGTGACTTTCCAGTGCAACATAGCTCATTATTGTCTGAAGTTAGATTTTTAACTCACAATGGGTAGAAGTTGCAAGGAGATAAACCTAGTCTTGAAGCAAGGCAAGCCCTAATAATTAGAACTCTCTGAAAGTAGAATTATCTTCCTTAGTATGGTGTGGTGGAAAAAGCACTTCTTGGTTCCTAGGTTCAGATTCTATATCTGATACTACCCATATGACCTGGCGCAAGGAGGGGTGGTCCCTGAGGGTCCCTGAGACCCTCCAGTTGTAGATCTGTGATCCTATGAATGTGTTTCCCCCTCACTGAAGGAAGCAATAATGAACAGAAGCAGTGTGTACCTTAGCCAGGTGAGGTGACTTTCAGTAGTCGATGAAATCCCAGAGACAGGGATATATGTTTAACTGCATTCTAAAAATCTGTGAAAAATCGGCTCAGTTTAGGGATCAGCTCAAGACAATACCTCTATCTTAACCTGGCAGTGTCTTTTCAACTATTTTAAAATTTAAGACAAGATAAAAGAAACAAAATGTTCTGAATGAAAGTGGGATTGTTAGGCATTTACATTTAAGTATTTTTTCTATTACTTTGAAAGAGGATTCAAAATTGAAAAGAGGGCCCAATTATTTGAAGCCTACTTACCTGGATAATATACCACCTCCACAATTCAATAATTCCAATATCCTCTTACCCTACCACAACCTATTGGCTTTTTACTTTTCCCTCTATCTCCCCTTATATAATCCTACTCTTTTTTTTTAAGGCAGTGACTTGCCCAGGGTCACACAGCTAGTAAGTGTCAAGTGTTTGGTCTGAGGCCACATTTGAACTCAGGTCCTCCTGACTTCAGGGCCACTGCACCACCTAGCTGCCCCTATAATCCTACTCTTCATGCACACTATAACCTCCAATTCCTTGACCCCTCAATTCTCACCTAGGCCACCTGTCCTGTACTAACTGTTCTCTCCTCTTTTCCCCATCTTGAGACCTGTCGGTTACCCTCAACCTGGTTTAGCCCATCTGCCAAGATGGTTTACCAGGGTGTGTCCACTGCACATGCCATATCTTTTTGGAGTCACAGGTGAGAGTTGGGTGAATCAGGTGGACACCAAAGGTAGAAGAGCAGGCCCGAAAAAGGCTAGGGTACAACTTGGATGGAGCACAACTAAACTGAGTGAACAGTAGGTCCTGCGACTCCACGTCCCATCTCTGCCACTCATTAGCTTTGTGATTTTGGGCAAGTCACTTAATCCTTCTGACGTTCAATTTCCTCATTTGGAAAATGAAGGTAATAAAGGTTCCAAGGCCTGTGTTCAAGTTCTCATTCTGACACATCCTGGCTGTATGGCCCTGGGCAAGTCACTTAGCCCTCGGTGCCCAAGGAAACTCTCTAAGACTGGAAGGTGAAGAGCAGGTGCTGATCTACATTGGCAGAGTGAATTCCTAACCAATAAAATTACAGGTTTAGTCCAAAAAAAAGAATTCAGTGTACTTACCTCAGAGGGTTGTAAGGTTCAAATGAAATAACACATATGGAAATGCTACATAACCACAAAATACTATGTAACTGTGAGTTATTACAGTTATGTCCAACATCATCACTACCATACTTGAATCTCTGTTTCTAGCAGAGTACCCAGTTTCCCAAATATGCCTAGTACATTCCTACCTCCACATTTTTTTAGACTAGCCTCATCCCCTATCCTCCAACTTGGACTGCCTTATACACTCTACCCATCTGAATTCTACTCTTTCAAGGTTCAACTCAAAATGCTACCTTCTTTTTGAAGCCTTCCATGATCTCATCAGCTCTCTCTCTCTCTCTCTCTCTCTCACACACACACACACACACACACATACACACACCCTAGAACACTTTTAGTACTTATCATGCCCTGCTTTGTATTGTTAATTGTCTTTTTATATTAATACATCTGGTCTCTAACTAGACTGTGTGTTCCTTGAGAACCAGGGCCTCTTTGGATTCACATAGCATAATGACTTGTACATAGTAGATGCCCAATACATATTAGTTGATTAAAAAATAAATGGGCTGATTTAGGTCAAAACAGGATCATACCAACCTCTTTCCTTCACCTCCACCCCAATATAAGACTAAATTCTATAGGGAGTGGCCTCAAAACAGCTTGAAGCTTATTGCGGAATTGTGACAGAGGTATAGAGCCTCAAACAGCTGTAGGGTAGATTCACCTTGAATAAAAGCCCTGTACCTTTTTTGAGACATAATCATAAGGTATGCATAAAATAAAATACATAGGATTACAAAGGAAATTAATTATGTCAAAATAAAGATGTAATTTTTCTTTCTTCATCTAAGTTCACAGTCTTGCTGAAATTTATCTAGGAGTGTATAGGCCTCAGGTTAAGAACCTTGGGCCCTGAAAACATTCATCAGAGGAGGGACTGTATAGGTGTGTTACTGGGGGCTGCTAAGAGATGCACTGGATAGAGCACCAGTCCTGAAGTCAGGAGGACCTGAGTTCAAATCTGGCCTCAGACCAAACACTTGACACTTACTAGCTGTGTGACCCTGGGCAAGTCACTTAACCCCAGTTGCCTAAAAATTTAAAAAAAAAAAAAGAAAGGATATAGGTTGTCTCCCCAGCACATCGTACGGTATGTAGTAGGTGCTTACTGAATGCTCATTGAAGTGAACATAGTCTTCCTTCGGTAAGCCCCTAGTGCACCAGTTCTTAGTGATCAGAATCTTTAATAGATGGACCTACCCCAGTGCTTACTCAGCCTCTGCTGTAAGCTCTTAGATTGTCCACCTGCTAGCCTGCCCTAAATGAAGTTGTTCAGTTGTCACGCTTTAGCACAGTGCCTGGCACATAATAGGTCCTTAATAAATGTTTATTGATCAATTGCTTGGCAGTCTTAGTCAAGGGCATTTGATGGGTACCCACAGGGTGGGGAGGTCTGCACTGCGTCCATTTTGTGCAGTCTCTGAGGGCAGCAAGACGTAAAGACAAGACACAGACAGCACTGCCCTTGTTGACTGATTAGAGTCTGGAGATCTGGGAAAAATACCCTTCAAGGCCTTTGATTCAGACAGAACACTCCATTCAGAGTAACCTTGGTCACTTATAAATAATCCCATTTAGGCTAAAGCTTCAGAGTTCCCTACAGAGTGCAGAAATGTACAAACACCCTGATTATCTCCCTTCATCCCGGCTAATCTCTTGTGATATCTCAGCTTCCCTCGGAGGAAAATCAGGGTTAGCATTCTCCCTCAGTGTGTGTGGTATTTGTTGTTTCTCAGCAATGGTCCCATAGCTACACAGTAGGGTCTGAAAGACAAAGCACTTGTAGAAGAATCAATAGACTGCCCTCAATTTTCTGCCAGAAACTTGTTGGTGAGGAGAGGCAAGGGATTTAATACTTCGTTAGGAAAATCGAGTAAAACCCCTAGCTATGTAACTGGGGGCCAATCAGTTAATCTTTCTGAACCTTGGGGAAAAAGAAAGATAATATTCCCTATAGATACCTCCTAGGGTTATTCTGGGGCTCAGATGAGATAGTGTGTGTATGAATGGGACAACGTGTGTGAATGGGGCAATGAGTTTGAATGGGGTAGTGTGTGTGAATGGAGCAGTGTGTATGAATGGGATAGTGCTTGTTAGGACAGATTCAGATCATGCCACCTGAAATACAACAACTTCAGACAGAAAAAGCCTGAGTTTTCATGGTCAGTCCATGATAGAGGTATTCATCCTTGGGCCTGGCAAGGCCCAGCAACATGGAGGGGTATGTCATACTATATTTGTTGTATACTTTTCAGAGTCATAAAAGATCATGTGGAAAGCTTTCAAAAAGATCTTCAGTTCCTTGGGAAAAAAAGATTTATAATAAACTCAGAAGGCCTTGTGCTGTACAAACAGCCTATGACTTGGGGACAAATAACCCACAGGCTCCTAAGTATCTTCCTGAAGAGACAATCCCATATGAAGCATGCTCCTTGTTTTGTACCAACTCATCCAAGATGAATAATGTCATATCTGAATTCCCTTTCACGTATCAAGGAAAAGTAAGTATGCTGTGGTCAACTCATTCACCTTTCTGAAAGACAAACAACCCTTTCCCCAAAGGATAAGAAACAACCACTGAACATTAACAATAAAAAATGAACTAATAATTTTGGGGGGAGGAAGGCATGAGCTTCAGAGCTTAGCATGGAGCTATACTTAGCAGGCTTTGAATAAACCCTTATCAATTGAATTGAATTAAATTGGAATCATCAAAATTTCATACATCTATACTTTTACCTGCAATAATATGTGTTCTTAGTTATTTGGTATAAAATAAGCTGTTGGACAAGCCATTTGACCACTGTGGAACTCATCTATAAAATGAAGGGTTTGGGGAGGGGTTCTTGAAACCTGTAAACTTGCTTTTTAAAATGTTCATTGTATTTCAATATAATTGATTTCCTTGGTAATCCCATTTGTCTTATTTTATGCATTTACAAACATTCTTCTGAGAAGGGTTCTTGTCCATAGTTTTCACCAGACTGGTGCCCATGGGGACCACGGCACAATAAAAGTTAACACATCTTAAACTAAATGGTCTCTAGGGTCCTTTCCAGCTCAAACTCTATGATGCTAAGTGTATAAAGGCTGTATAAAGTCATCAGGGTTAACCCAGTGTGAAATAGCAAACATCTGATCATATTTGATATCTACTTTAACATTATTATTCTAAATATTTCTATCTATAATGTAAATATTGGCTAATGAAGGCAATAATAAAATGTGTCAACCTCTGAGTGCTTTGAACCCACTGATTAGGTTTGAAACATACCTTGCATTTCATGAAATAATTAAATATTAATAACAAAGAAGTGTACTTGACAAAAGAATTAAACTTGGTCCCTATGGAAAGATTTCATAATCTCACCCCGACAGATATGAACAGAGTGTAGTGTGACATTTTGTTTGGGCAAGTAAGTGTGACAAGTTTAGAGAATTTAACACATTCAGAAATTCTATAGGATTTCAGGCTAGAAGAGACCTTAGAGATGATCTAATCCAACCTTTTCATTTTACAGAAAAGGAAACTGAGGCATATGAAAGGAAAGTGAATTTACCAGGGCAACACAAGTAATAAGGAGCAGAGCTGGAAGCTGAACTCATATCCTCTGACTTCACATCTAGTGTGCTTTCCATCGAAAGTTAAGTCAGTGTGCCTACCGTGGGTCAGATACTGTGCTAAATCCTGAAAATATAAAGAAACGTAGAAACAGTCCCTGACCTCAAGGAGCTCACAGTCTAATGGGGGAAGCAACAGGCAAACAATATAGGATAAATAGACATTAAACTCAGAGGGAAGGCCCTGACATTAAGGGGGACCAGGAAAGGGAGAAGATAGGATTTTAGCTAACTTGAAGGAGTCTGAGGAAACCAAGAGGCAGACAAAGAGAGAGAGAATTCTAAGCATGGGGGACAACCAGTGAAAATGCACTGAGTCTGCAGTCCTGAATATCTTACGTGAGAAACAGCAAATAGGCCGGTGCATGCAGACTATGCAGAGGGGATCAAGGTGTAGGAAGACTAGAAAGACACAAAGGGCCAGTTATGAAGGGGCAGCTAGGTGGTGCCATAGTGCACAGAGCACGGGGCCTGGAGTCAGGAAGACTTATCTAGAATTGTTCATGTAGTCTACTTTTCGTAGATTTTCTTAGTGTGGTATCTACTTATCAATTTATTCTTAGGGTTACTTCGCCCATAGACTGTGCCTCTACCTTTTAAGTATTCGGTTCAATTAAAAAAAAATTACCAAGTACCTCCTATGTCCCTGGTATTAAGCTAAGTGCAGGGGTCAAAGACAAAAAACAATCCCTGTCTTCTGGGAATTTACCTTCTACTTGGGGGAGAAACAGTGTATACAGATATAAATCAAATAATGTCAGTAACTGGAGGGAAACACAAAATTGTGGGGAAGAGGTTTGAGGGCAGGAAAGGTAGATGATAGAATGTGGTTCTTGAGCTGAGCCCTATAGGGAGCAAAGGGTTTGAAGAGATGGAGGGGAGGAGGAGAGAGCATTCCCAATTTGGAGGAGTAATCTGAAGTAAAGAGCAACTTCAAGAGTCAAATGTCATGCCCAAGGGAGACCAGTTGGGTTGGAGCATAGAGAACATGAGAGGCAGTAACAGAAATTTCTAGTTTGTCATAAGAGTGGCTTTCTTGGACTCTAGTATCTGAGTAGAATTGTGGTTTGGTATGTTTTGGTTTTGCCTGTTAGACATTAATAGGGAGATTTCACTTAGGACCATAAACTTTGAGCTGGAAGAATTCCCAGGAGCCGTTTAATTCAACTTCCTCATTTTGCAAATGAAGAAACCAAGGCCCTGTGACTACACAGGTAATCAACAGAGCAGAAGGCATTTATGTCCGCGTATGCCTGTGCCAGCACTCTCTCCCCTGTCCCGTGACTTACATGCCAGCTTATCACAAGTACCCTTTCTTAGTGAAGATTTCTTTTGTGTGTTCCCAAGTCTCTTTTGATTTTGCTACATATCTTCCTCTAAAGGCCTTCAAATTAAGCAATATGCGTCATTGCCTTCCCTGGGTTAGGTATACCATGGGCTTTTCAGGCTCCAAATACTAATTTAATTACGAATTATAGATACTACTTATAAAAAGTTTTGTTTTAATGTTTCAGGTATTTGTGCCTTGAATACTTTAGAGCAGCAGCTGATTCCTTTGAAATAGAGTCAGCGGGACACTAACTATTTATGTCTTTTTCCACTATTGTGACCTGCTTTCTGGAGAGGTATATTTATAACCCACAGACACACGAGAGTCGAGCTGTCTGGTTTAAGAGCTTTCTTATCACCTTCACCTGAGTGCTCCAGACAGTCTGATTTACCAGCTCCACCAAAAAATGAAAAGTAGGCCTGGAACTATTTGTTTTCCTACCAATTCATTCCTGAAACCCACATCAGTGTTTTACTTTTGCTTAAGTGCTTTGGAACAGAGAGCTAAAGTGAAAAAGAAAGATAAACATGACCCTAATCTAAGTTCACATAGTAACACATTTTTATCTTTTATTTTTATTGAATTGGCCTAGCAACCTACTCATTCCTCTTGTTTCAGTTATTAGATGGTACTGGCAATTTCCTTCTTCATAGCACCACCTATATGGACAGACAGACAGACCGACAGACTTATAACCACCTCCAGCCCCAGTGACAGATGCTATTTTTATCATTTTTATTGTCCATACACAGTCACATTCCCTATATTCCCCTTACATCCTGAGAGAGCATCATCGTATTACAATAGGGCCAAATTCTTTTTGTTCATAAAAATGACCTTAGGTCATCAAGAAAATCTTCAATTAAGTTTAGTACACACATCCCTGATTTTGTTTAAGGGGGGAGGGGAAGCATACTATACTTTAGAAAGATTTCTATTTGATACATATAGAAATGAAGGTGATAACAAAAACACAGTATAGCAATAAAATTTTTTTAAACAGAAAAAAAGAGATTAAAACATTTGGCACAGTGCCTGATACATAATAGGCACCAAATAAATGCTTATTCCCTCCCCTTTCCCCATCCAAAATGGTAACAATGGAAAGTTTGGGGAGCTAAAAGCTAAATTTCAGTTATCTAGAAAACTAATCCATGATTTGGAATCTCTGACTCCCATCAAGGCTCACCTCTTACATGAGATCTCTCCTAATCCCTGGGTGTAGTATTCTCTCCCTTTATCTGAGAAATAACTTTATATTTACTTAGTATCTGGTTTCTATTTATGTGTGTGTGTACATGTTGTCCATTTCCCCACCATGTAAACCCCTTAAATTAGGCCAGGATTCTTTTGTTTTTCTCTTGTGTCAGAGGCAGGACTGGATGGAACCCAGCTACCTTGGCCCCAAGACAGCTCCCTATTTGCTAGCCCTCCTCTAGAATATTGCTTTTCTTTGTGATAACTTCTCTTTGTGATATCTTTCTTCATCTTAAAATTAATGAAAGCAAATAAACTATTCTGATTTAATAAATCTAGCCTTTCTTTAGTAGAAACACAGGACACAATCCCATCAGGAAAAGATATGCATTTTAAGTGACTATATATTTTATTCTCTGATGTCATTGAGACACTCTCAAATTTACACATAAGCCAACTAACCTCTTCCTCTACCTCCATCCCATGGGTAATAAGATAATTTCTTCATCTTAAATAATGCTTTTTTCAATAAAGACATTCCTTTTTAATCATCCCAATTTACTGAACTGGTATTTAAGACCCTTCACAGTCTGGTACCTCTCTACATATTGTACTTAAATTCTAGCCAAATGGCCATTTGTAGACACCCAACACTTTCCTGTCTCTGTGCCATAATCTATACTCTTTCCTACACATGGAATGTACCTTCCTTCTCTCTGTCTTTTGGAAATCTTACTTGTTTTTCAAGGAACTGCTCAAATACTTCACCCCCTCCAGAAATTCTTCACTGATTCTCCTCTTCCATCCATTAGGAAATTATTTTTACTTCCTTGGCCTTGAATATCACTTTGTGCCTGTCTTTTGAACTTACTCTATTGTACTCTGTACTCAAGTTCTTATATTATTTTGGCATAGTATTGCATGTTTGTTCATGTATTCTATCTCCCCTGCTAGGTTAGAAGCTGGATTTAGAACTTACATGACATAATATGTTTATACCTAGATTAGATCCTTACCTGTCTTTGTATTGTAGCTATTTGTATGAGCGTCACATTCTGCAGTAGACTATAAGCTTTATGAGGGAAGGGACTTTGTGTTATCTAAATTTTGTATGTCTCTTAGCATCAGGCTCAGTGTTTCACATATGAATGATGTTTAAAAATGTGCTTATAAATGATTTCAACAGCTAGATCCATGAATCAAGAAGGAAAGAAGCATTATTAAGCACTTACTATGTACCAGGCACCATGCTAAGCACTTTACAAATATTATTTCATGTGATCTTCACAACAACCCTGGCAGGAAGCTACTGTTATTATGCCCATTTTACAACTAGGGAACTAAGGCAAACAG